TGTAGTCTGCTCTACCAGGATCAGGAAACAGTCCTCCATAAAATGCGCTGGACACATCTGAATATTTGGGTTAAACTGTTCTGGAACAGTGTTGGAAATACAATTTAACCACTGATTTCTAGTCGTGTCCTCTTTTGGAAGGCCAAACGAAGTAGTTTCGCTTTCACAACGAATCAGCGTCACACACCGCGGCCTTGAGTGAGCGGAGGCCGGCTTGAGTGAGCAGAGGCGGGTGGGCTTGAGAACGGCACAGCCGGCAGAATGGACGAAGGAGCGTCCGGAGGGCTTGCGGCAACCACATGTGACGACCCCGGGCTGGACTCCGCTTCGTCCACGGAGAAAGCCGATCAGGCGATCGACAGCGTGAAGTTGATGCATTTCCTCAGCGACCAGCACAGATCAGCTCCAGGCATGACGAAGCGGAAATCGTACTCTTTTCGAAGGCCAACCAAAAGTAGTTTCGCTTTCACAACGAAACAGCGCCTTCACGACATGGCGGCGGCGGCAACAACAATACTACATCGAGAATAAAAGTTACGCCTTCTTTCTTTGCGTGAACATTTGGGCAGCGTTATGCAAATCTTCCCACATCGTGACGTAGACATGTGGGGGCGAGTTAGAACGAGCCGTTTTAGGTAGGCGTGGTTGACTCTTTAACTTTTATAAAGAATATCTCTTTGGATTTGAGACTTTAGTCTTTGCAACTTTACAGACCTTCTTTATGGACCAAGAGCTTGTAACACTCCAAAGAGAAAGGAAAAATTGAAATTGCATCATATGACCCCTTAAAGTCGCTTGGGTATATTTTTAGCAATAGCCAAAAAAACATAGTATGGGTCAAAATTATCGATTTTTCTTTTATGGCAAAAATCATTAGGATATTAAGTAAAGATCATGTTCCATGAAGATATTTTTATTTTGTGTATTTGGTTTGGAGCGACGAGACAAAAACATTAAAACCCATTATAAACGAGGCATTTGTTGCATCCAGTGGGGACATAATTACCGATTATAATGACTTATACTGTCTTTTTACGTGTTGCGTTGCGTATCGCGCCTCGTAAACATAAAACCATGTCTGCACTTGTGATCGGAGAAATGTCAAACAACAAGTGCTACTCTACACTGCCCAAAAAACTTGCATTTGAATTGTCAGTGGCAAATTCTTTAAATATAAAAAACGTACTTACAGTCTGTGAGTCAGAACAGCCAGCATTGTAGTCTGCTCTACCAGGATCAGGAAACAGTCCTCCATAAAATGCGCTGGACACATCTGAATATTTGGGTTAAACTGTTCTGGAACAGTGTTGGAAATACAATTTAACCACTGATTTCTAGTCGTGTCCTCTTTTGGAAGGCCAAACGAAGTAGTTTCGCTTTCACAACGAATCAGCGTCACACACCGCGGCCTTGAGTGAGCGGAGGCCGGCTTGAGTGAGCAGAGGCGGGTGGGCTTGAGAACGGCACAGCCGGCAGAATGGACGAAGGAGCGTCCGGAGGGCTTGCGGCAACCACATGTGACGACCCCGGGCTGGACTCCGCTTCGTCCACGGAGAAAGCCGATCAGGCGATCGACAGCGTGAAGTTGATGCATTTCCTCAGCGACCAGCACAGATCAGCTCCAGGCATGACGAAGCGGAAATCGTACTCTTTTCGAAGGCCAACCAAAAGTAGTTTCGCTTTCACAACGAAACAGCGCCTTCACGACATGGCGGCGGCGGCAACAACAATACTACATCGAGAATAAAAGTTACGCCTTCTTTCTTTGCGTGAACATTTGGGCAGCGTTATGCAAATCTTCCCACATCGTGACGTAGACATGTGGGGGCGAGTTAGAACGAGCCGTTTTAGGTAGGCGTGGTTGACTCTTTAACTTTTATAAAGAATATCTCTTTGGATTTGAGACTTTAGTCTTTGCAACTTTACAGACCTTCTTTATGGACCAAGAGCTTGTAACACTCCAAAGAGAAAGGAAAAATTGAAATTGCATCATATGACCCCTTTAAGTCGCTTGGGTATATTTTTAGCAATAGCCAAAAAAACATAGTATGGGTCAAAATTATCGATTTTTCTTTTATGGCAAAAATCATTAGGATATTAAGTAAAGATCATGTTCCATGAAGATATTTAGTAAATTTCCTACCATAAATGTATCAAAACTTAATATTTGATTAGTAATATGCATTGCTAAGAACTTCATTTGGACAACTTTAAAGGCGATTTTCTCAGTATTTAGTTTTTTTGCACCCTCAGATTCCAGATTTTCAGATAGTGGCATCTCGGCCAAATATTGTCCTATACTAACAAACCATACATCAATGGACAGCTTATCTATTCAGCTTTCAGATGTTGTATAAATCTCAATTTCAAAAAAATTACTGGTTTTGTGGTCCAGGGTCACATACACTAAACATTACTAAATATTCTACATTAACACACCACCTTTAATGGAACACCCCTATTTTTGAAAATAGGCTCATTTTCCAACTTCCCTAGAGGTAAACAGTTGAGTTTTACCATTTTCGTATCCATTCAGCTGATCTCCGGGCCTGGCGGTAGCACTTTTAGCTGTAGCTTAGCATAGATCATTGAATCTGATTAGACCGTTAGCATCTTGCTCAAAACTGACCAAAGAGTTTCTATATTTTTCCTGTTTAAAACTTGACTCTTCTGTAGTTACATTGTGTACTAAGACCGACGGAAAATGAAAAGTTGCGATTTTCTAGGTCGATATGGCTAGGAACTATACTCTCATTCCGGCGTAATAATCAAGTAACTTTGCTGCCGTAGCATGGGTGCAGCAGGCGCAATGATATTATGCAGCGCCTGAAAATAGTCCCCAGCTAGGTAACTTCCAATAAGCCTATTTTCAGGCGCTGCGTAATATCAGCCATATCGGCCTAGAAAATCGCAACTTTTCATTTTCCGTCGGTCTTAGTGCACGATGTAACTACAGAAGAGTCAAGTTTTAAATAGGAAAAATATAGAAACTCTTTTTGAGCGAGATGCTAACGGTCTAATCAGATTCAATGATCTATGCTAAGCTAAGCTAAAAGTGCCACGTCTGTGCACAAAGGCCGTTTCTATAAAGTGGGGCAGTAACAACTTTGCAAGGACAGTCTGGCGCTTCTGACTCACAGCCTGTAAGTTTTTTTTATATTTAAAGAATTTGCCACTGATGATTCAAACGCGAGTTTTGAGCAGTGTAGAGTAGCGCTTGTTGTTTGTCGTTTCTCCGATCACAAATGCGGACATGGTTTTATGTTTACGCGGCGCGATACGCAACGCGACACGTAAAAAGATAGTACAAGTCATTATAATCAGTTATGTTTCCACTGGATGCAACAAATGCCTCGTTTGTAATGGGTTTTATTGGTGTTGTCTCATTGCGCCGGGACACGGCATCACAGTATGGTAAGGGGTGTAACATTTCCGTCACATGCTTGAGGTATTCAGCCAATCAGCGTACACCTCGCTTTTCAGAACGATGAGCTTTGTAAAAATCGATGTGTTACAGAAAGGCGGGGCATAGAGGAACAACAATAATGTACATTATGTGGAAAATAATGTGTTTTTTGAACCTTAAACCGCATAAACACATTGCATTACACCAAATACATAACAGTGTTCTTTTTAGCAACGTCATATGACCCCCTTTAAGAACCCTCATATAAAGGTGATGAAATGTGATAAACATTAACTGTACATTGATTTTGACAATGTGTAGCTCATTATAACTCAAATATGTTTACCAGATTTAAAAACAACCAAATCAATCCATTCTGAAGGTCTGCAAAAAATTTCAACAAATCAATTTACTGCATCGAATTTGCTGGTAGCCTATACACAAGTCAATATGAAAGCACGAGTGATGGTCTTTATGTGTGACTGTGAATGGAAAGAGTGCGCATGGTTTTCCAGTGAACTGTCCTCTGGAAAAATTTTAAAAACTGTAATACAAAAAAAAAATAGAATAGGAAAGATTGGAGCCCTTTGCCCTGTTAGTGTGGAAAAGAGAAGAGATTTGACATGCAATGCCAGGAAAGTTAAAAACAGGAAAAACCAAGTGAGCACAGTGGACAGGAACAGGGTGGTTTTGCTTATTCAATAGGCAAAATGATCATCTTATTTTGATGCTTGAACTGATTATCTAGTTATTGACTCTATATGACTTCCATTTTTTAAAGTAGTCCATTGATTTGATTATTCTTATTAATAGCAATAATACCTTTATGAATAGTTTTGTAAATGTATCAACGCCAATGCGCACATGTAAAATCATCTTGTTTTTTTTTGCTAACCAAGGATACATTTATTTGATTAAAAATACAGTCAAACTGTTATATTGTGAAATATTATACTTTAAAATGCGCATTTTCTATTTTTACACGTTTTAAAATGTAATTTATTCCTGTGATGGCAAAGCTGAATAAATCATTCTCAATCAATGCTGAAAAAAGTATAGTATATTATTATTATTATATTATTAAAGTATATTAACGTATAGTATTATATTCATTTTTTTTTTAGAAACTGACAAGGATTCTTTGATTAATTCAAAAGAACAGCTTTTATTTGAAAAATAAACTTTGTAACAATGTAAAAGTCATTAAGGTCACTTTTGATCAATTTAATGGAATCATTTCTCAATGAAAGTACTCTCTTATGAACCCCTTTGAACAATAGTGTATATGGTCAACATATACACAGTTGACTGTTTGCTTGTTTATTTATTTTCTGTATGACACAAACAAGTTGTTTACTTGGCCAAGCAAACCTAAATAGCATCATACTGTTTA